GAAAAAATGTATTTTTTGGCTATGTTAATTATTAGCCTAGATGTATTTATTAAATGATTAACTAGTTCAGATGGATTGATTTCATTTGTGTATGTGTGATGCTCGTGTGTGTGTGTGTGTTTGTGTGTGTGTGTGTGCGTGTGACTGTATGTGGTACGTGTGTGTGCATATTTGTTTATATGTGTAGGTACGTATTTGTATGGGTTTGTATGTATGTGTGTTTATATGTGTTAATATTTGCACTCTTATATATACACAGTGATATATATATATATATATATATATATATATATATGATAATGATTATAATGATGATGATGACACTGATCATGCTTTGGTAAATTGTTTATTTATTATTTGCATTAAACATTCTGTGATTGCAATTCTTCTATAATTAATATATTATTATTATTTTTTTTGTTATTGTTATTATTATTATTATTACTGTTATTGTTATTATTATAATTATTATTGTGAACAAGTTTCAATAAAATAATGTCATTATCATCAATATCTCCAGAAATCCAATATGAAATACAAATCCGTACATAAAGGCATACATGCAAACACACATACAGACATACATACAGACATACATACAAACATACATACCGACGTACATACATACAAACATACATACAAATATACATAAAAACATACATAAAAACATACATACAGGCATACATGCATTTAAAAATAATTTGTAGCTGTACTTAGTTTACATCTATTAAGGAATAGTTTTCAATTTGTATCCATTTAAAACATATGAAAATAAAGCAGAATTAGTGAATTGGGATTTCAGGAAAAACTATGTTGCCGCCATTTTTCAAAGACAATTAAGTTAAAACGTGTTTTTGCCGAAAAATTATTATTCTATGTTTTGCGGATGTTACCAAAAAACATAAATGTCAATTCTTCTGTTGTGTCAGTAATCTATGGTGATGATGACGACGATGATGAGGATGGTATTGGTGATGATTGTGTCGTGTAAGAGTATATGAAGATGATGATGATGACGACGACGATGATGGTAAAATTGAAATTTAAATCCCAAATACATGAACGTATTTGCCTTTGAATCTTTATCATATTTTTTGTTGCTTGCTGTCATTGTCGTCTTGTGCGTGTGTGTGCGTGTGTGTGTGTATTTAATGTTTCACTTTTCTAACTATGCTTCATTAATTAACACGGTCCCTTAAAACTTAATAACGTTTAATGCTCTTATGTTTTATTTACCAATTAATTCTTCACCCACTCACTCATTCATCAATTCGTTCATTTATTTATGTATTCATCTATTCATCATTCATCCATTCATTCATCCATCCATTCATTCATTCATTCATTCATTCATTCGTACGTTCTTTCGCTATTAAAAGTTTTTAGATGTTTTTCTATTGTCATCGGCGTCATTTATCAATATCAATCTTATTAACGTTCTTCTTCTTCTTCTTCTTCTTCTTCTTCTTCTTCTTCTTCTTCTTCTTATTATTATTATTATTATTATTGAAGATCATGTTGATATTATTAAAAACTGAACTATTACCAACTAACCAAAATAATGTAACATCATTAATATTCATCATCATCATCTTCATCACTGCTTGGTCGTCATCGTCAACATCAACATCATCATCTTCACCATCATCGTCATCAACATAATTATCATGAGCACTTGAGTAATATCATTATAATTGCCTTTCTGAATGACGAATAAAATATTATATTTAAAAAAATGATATATATATATATATATATATATATATATATATATATATAGATGTTATATTGACAATGGGGTTTTATTATTTCATCCTATGCATTTGATACATAACATCAGTGAGGATTATAACATAATGTATGTATGTACGTTTGTTTGTATATATATATATATATATATATATATATATATATATATATATATATATATATATATGTTTACATGTATGTTTGTACATATATATGTGTGTATATTTTGCATTTGTAG